ACGTCCTCTCTTCCTCGCTGGCTCCATATCTGTCAGTGGAATGATCACCTCGTCGCTCTCTGTCACCATCAACACACTCCACGAATCCCGTGGATGATTCACTTCCTTATATCCGTTTGAATCAGGTACCGAAGCAGTTACGTGCGTAATGAAGCTTCGGACGTCACTGGTCACGTTACTTTTGCCAAACGAAGCAAGCCTCAACACAGTGCTTCTGAACCAGTGTGTTGTTTTTTTCAGCACACGCTCCGGGGCGCCAGCTTCAAGCGGGCCATCACTAGAACTGACAACTGTGAACGCTGATCATGAACCCATGTTAAGTCATCAAGATGCAAACATAACTGCAGATCACGGTGACCTGGACTGTGTAATGCCACAACATGAATTCTGTCTTCCTGAAGGTAACACAGAGGGCGATTTTGAACTGTTTTGCTCCAGCACGATTACCTCCAATCAGGAGATAGAGGCTGACATCAGGGTTAATGTGACACTGTTTTCTCCTGTTTCTGTGACCTCGTCACCAGATAAGATTTTGCTCTTGAACACTGATGTTACCACTCACTCCCAGCCTAAGGTGTCACCTGCTGCAGTTAATGGTTCAGGTGCCGTATTACCTGTGTCTGTCACTCAACTCAATATAGCTATTACTCCGGTGCGGGTTCCAGCAAACGCATCTGTCCAACATATCACAGTCATGCTACTACTGTGCTATTAGTTAGGTCCATACCTGAGTGTTTAATGTTTGTCCAGGAGCCACACCCTGATGATCTAAGCCTCGTTTTTGAGTGGCAAATCTTGTTTTCCATATGGTTAAACCAGCCCCTCTGAGCCTTACACTACCATTGATTAAGTCCAACCAGCTTATGTTGACCCCTCCTGTGGCTACAGAGACTGGGCCATTAGCCCTTAAGCCACTTAAAACTGATGCAGACTCTGGGACACCCTTCGTAGCGTCGCTGTGACGTAATAGGTCCCAAAATGCGTACTCGAAGCGTGCGGACGCTAAATTGGGACACAGCCAATGATCTGAGGTGGAATGACTCACCTGTCACACCTGCACAGGTGAGCTGTGTGACAGCAAAGAGCTGATTGGCTGATTATCAGCAGAGGAAACAGGAAACACTTTAAACTCCTCCTCAGCTCTAACTCAGCTGCTCCTCTGACAGCAGGTTATGCCATCTGATCAATAATCACTCTCTGAAAGCTGATCAGGTTATTGTAGAGGTGTCAAACATAAGGCCCGGGGCCAGAATCGGCCCAGTAAAGACTCTGATGGACCTGCTGGATGCATCTACAACATATGATGGAGGCGTAAAGTTTCTGTGTCTGTAAAAGTTTCCTGCTGACAAACACAGCTGTGACTCTCACTGTCACAGTAACACACATGAACTCAGGTGTGTTTTAAACTGGAAACTATTTAAATAACACATAAAGTCATATTTCACAGTGTTTTTAAACAAACTGAATCATTTTATTAAAATAAAGTTGGTTTTATTTTGAAAATCCTCAGAGTGGAAGCTGATCAGGCTGAACTTTATTTTGAAGAGTCTATAAATATTGATTATTGATCGGTGCTGTCTCCTCAGATCATGTTCACCTCCAGCTGCTGTCTGCCTGGACACTGATGACATCATGAGCTGTGAGCTCTGTGATTGGCTGCTGTGTGTTAGAGCTCAGCTGCACTTTCAGTTCACTCAGACTCTCACACTCACTCTGTGAGGTTCACACACAGACACACACACTCACAGTTTAACTGTCAGAGAGCTGCTGATGAAGATGAAGGAGCTGCTCCTCTTCCTCTCCTGTGTCCTCTGTGTCTCTGCTGACGGTGAGTTTGTCTCTGTAAACAGCAGCTTATTGATCAGGTTATTGATCAGGTCACTGATCAGTGTTTGATGTGTTTCAGCTCTGCACAGTGACATTGCTATCAATGGCTGTTCAGACTCTGATGGAGAGAAGATGTTTGGACTGGATGGTGAAGAGCTTGCCTACGCAGACTTCAACAAACAGGAGATGATCTACCCTCTGCCTCCTTTTATTGATCCTTTCACTTACCAGGAAGGAACTTATGAAGCAGCTGTGGCTAATCTACAGATCTGCCAACAGAACCTGAAGACTGTTCGTGTGGGGATGAAGGACTTCCCTCCCAAACACAGTAAATACAACATGTAACACCTGTCTCACCTCACCTGTGTTTACCTGCACGCTCTGTAGAGTAACACACTGATGACATCATCAGCGTCGATGTATTCTGTCCAATCAAACACAGCCAGCTTCAACCTGATTAAATATATGAAATAATTCCACCTTAAACACATTCAGACTGATCATGTGTACAGAAACACTGACATGTTTATATTTGTGTTCATGTTTCAGTATTTCTGAATGCAGTATTCTGCATTTACTGCAGATCAGTTTATTTTATTTTTCCTCCTCTTAGTTCCTCTGAAGCTGAACTGAGTCTGTCTGTAGTTTAACTTCATGATTCTGACCTCACTCGAGCTTCTCTCACACAGACAGTGATGACATCATCTGACTGAACACCTGAACGTTTTATTGATGTTTATTATCATCATGATCACCTGCTGATGGGAACCAGCTGAAGCTCTGATCCTCTGCCTGATGTGTTTGTGCACAGATGCTCCTTCAGCTGTGATGATCTACACCAGAGATGAGGTGGAGTTTGGAGAGAAGAACACTCTGATCTGTCACGTGACTGGTTTCTATCCTGCTCCTGTCAACGTCTCCTGGACCAAGAATCAGCAGAAGGTCACAGGATCCAGCATCAACGTTCCCTATCTCAACAAAGACGGTTCCTTCAGACAGACATCCAGACTTCAGTTCACCCCACAGCTGGGAGACATCTACAGATGTGCAGTGGAACATCTGTCCCTGACTGAACCGCTGACCAAGATCTATGGTGAGAAAACTTTATTTAAATGTCTCTGTGTGTTTCTGTCTCCAGAGGTGAAGACTGAGCCCAGTGTTTATTACAACAGCTCAACAGCTGGCTCTGATCTAAGCTGACAGTTTGAGACAGATGTGGGCACATCATCCTGTGTTTCCTGTTTGTGTCCAGATGTGAAGGTTCATGTTCTCTGTGTTTGTTTCTCCAGAGGTGGAGGCGTCCGCTCACTCTGATCCAGGTGTTGGACCCTCTGTGTTCTGTGGAGTGGGTCTGACTCTCGGTCTGGTCGGTGTGGCTGTTGGAACCTTCTTCCTCATCAAAGGAAACGAGTGCAGCTGATTGGCTCACAGTGATGATGTCATCAGTGTTATATGATGAGCTCATAATCACTGTGACTGTCCTGTATGTAAGTGTGCAGAGTTCACCTGTAATGAACATCAGATTCCTGTCTGCTTCCTGTTTACCTGCCTTAAGTTAATCACCTGTATGAGCTGTTCTGTCTGTCATCATGTGTGTCAATAAAGTTTAACTCTGGAATTCAAAGCAAAGTTTCTTTCAGCCGCTCTCCCCCACAGCTCCACATGTTTGATCCAGCAGATGTTACCTGGACTCTGTTCCTGCCACAAAAACAAAGAAGATAAAAGTCAAATCATTGTTGCTGAAATCAGTTTCATCTGAGCTCGGGTGATCTCAGTGTGTTCATAAACTTCTGTAATGACTCAATGTTTATCAAACTGTATTTCAGATTGTTATGTATCAATAAAAACATCTGAGTAATAAACACAAATCTGTGAGTCTGTTCTTTGTGTGTTGTTACAAATGCTCACTCTCTGTGGTTTGAGTCAGTGCAGAGCTGAGTCAGGTGTGTGTCAGTGGTGTCATTATTTAGGTTCTGTTTCCTGTTTGTTGTTATGTGACGTCATTGGTCAAACATACAGTTTAATGAAGGAATCTGTGTGTGTGTTTAAAATGAAAGATATCTGAAGTTATCTTAATGCCACACAAAGATATAAAACTACATTTCTGATTATGTGTATGCTGATACAAACAGGTGAGAGAAAAATCAATTAACAGTTTACAGAAATGAATCAAACATGTTTAATACTTCTGTTGTATTTTAATATATAACGTTTAAATTGATCCTGAATGCTGTTAAAATCTCATCATGATTCAATTCAGTTTTCTCTATATGCCAATAAATCCCACTAATAGTGACCTGAAGGAGTCACTTTTGTAAGGCAAAGATGCTACAGTAACACAGCACAATAATCATTTTATATGAGCTGATGTCCATCTGCTGCAGTCTGACTGTTAATGATTTTATGTTTGAATTTGTCTGCTTTAGTATTTAAATGGCAAATTCTAATTATTATTTAATTTAATCACAGTAAAACGGATTCAGCTGCTCTGAACACTGAAATGTAAAAATATATCTCTACATGATGACATCACACTTCACATAAATTTAAAAAAACCTGTTTTCGTCTTTGAGACATTTCCATCACATCCATGAGGCCTGTGCTGTCACACAGAGGAGCATCAGCCAGCTGCATGGAAATCTTTCACAATAAAAGTGTTTCTATCCTTTTACTTTTAAAGACAAACAGGAAGTGTTAATATAACAGTGTGATGCAGTCATCAAAAGTGCTACAAAGATGCTGGATTGTTCTATTCATTATTAAACAGGAGGAAGAAGAGAGAAGATGACAGTTTTTAATATTACAGGTTGTGGTTTTTATTACAGCAGTACTGATGTCAGTGGCCAGTTCAAACTATTTGGTGCAGATAAATATTAAAGATGAATGATGCTCTGACTGTGGGAGATAAATGAGAACAGAAGATCCTGAGTGCTCTCTGTTTTTAAAGCTTTAATGGACTTTAACAGACAAACACACACGGTGATGAAGAGTGTGAGCTGTGAGCTGGTGTGACAGAGTTCTTCCTGGTAACAGATGACGCTGTGGTCATGTGACCTGTCCTCTGTTTTTAGAGCAGCTCTCAGTCAGACTGAGTCAGTTTGTCAGGAGAACTCAGGAACATGGCTTCATCCTTCCTCTGCCTCAGCCTCCTCTTCATCAGCCTCAGCACAGCAGGTATGATCGATATACTCATCAATACACTCCTTAATATACTGCAGAGATACACTGATCACCAATCAGTGTACTGATCACTGGTCAATACACTCATCACTGATCAGTATAGTGATCAATACACACAAATCCACTCATCAGCACACACATACACTCTCTCACTGGTTGTGATCAATACAGTGATCAGTCCTGATGTTCTGTTTGTTCTCAGATGGATTCATGAATTATGTGGTGTCTCGCTGTGACTTTAACTCCACTGAGCTGAAGGACATCCAGTACATCAACTCTTACTATTACAACATGATGGAGGTCGTCAGGTTTGACAGCAATGTGGGAGAGTATGTTGGATACACTGACTTTGGAGTGAAGCAGGCAAAGTACTTTAACAGTATTCCAGGACGGCTGGCTTCAGACAGAGCTCAGAAGGAGACGTACTGCCATAACAACATTGGTGTTGACTACAGCAACATTCTGTCTAAATCAGGTGAGTGTGCTGGTCTGTGTGACATCATCAGGTGTTCATGTTACTCTGAATCATTCATGATGGACTCACAGCTGCAGGTCAGACTCTGGTGATCAATAACTGTAATAAATCACTGATCACAGCTCTGACTGTGACACCACAGAGCTAACCTCAGTCTGTGGCGCTCCCTGCTGGTGAAACAGGCAAACTGCAGCTGTTCATTATAACACACTGATGATATTAAAGTATTTATTTAACCTGTTCGAGGTGAAATGTTGCTCACATTAATTTTATTAATGTTTCCACATAAATATTTCTAACAGCATGAAGCAGCCTGACAGGTTATTGAACACATTTTACTTCTTTACTTATTTTAAAGCAGATAAATCTGAGAAACACTGATGTTTGTTTAAACTTGGATATTCACACTAATGTGTGTCTGCGCTTTGTTTTTTGTTGTTTGTTGGTTTCTTTAACAGCTTCACACCTGCACACATTTACAGCTCAGATCTATGAGTCAGTGTTACAGTGGACTTATTAAATATACTGAAACAATTATTAAGTTATCATCATAACACACACAAGCTGTGAGCTGTGTAACACAAGCTTAATAATTCATGTGTTCCAGTGTGACAGAACACAGTTTTCCGCCGGTTGAACTGTCTGATAATCAAACGAGTGTTTCTTCATGTCATGAACTACAGTCAGCTCCCAGCAGCAGCAGCTCAGAGGAACATGAGGAGAACCAGCTCAGAGCTCCTGTGGAGGGGAAGCTGTCTGATAGTGAAAAGTGATTCCACGTGTCGTATCCATCACTTTTGGGTTATAGATGGCTAGATCTACAGTGCACCTAAGTGCACCATGAGTGTTGACCCATGTGTGGATGAGCAGGCTCTTTACAGGAGTTACTTCCTCTCTGGAGTGAGATGGTGTGACCTCAGAGAAGGAGGGATGTGTGAGAGATTTCCTCCATCAGCCAGCAGCTCTTGTCTCACCCATCTGTGTGTGACTGGTTACAAATATGATCAAATAGACAGACACAGCGCCCCCTGCAGGCTCTGGATGGTACAGTCTGATTAGAGTGACCCTCCATCAGGTCCTCGCTCACCACCACTATCACCATCTCCTCTGCTGTTGTTGTTCAGCCTACAGCTGAGCCTACAGTTGTCTATACCTACACCCAAACGTAATGAAATAGCAACCAATGTAAAACATTCATTAATCAGCTGCTGTGAGTCTTTAGCTGTGAAAAACAAACAACACAAACACACTGTGAAAAGAAACAAGTGTATCAAACAAAAACAAATCATTATTAATTTCTGCTCATCAGTTAAACAGCTGGATGAGCAGAAATTCAAACTGGGACCAGCTGTGGATTCAGTCCTTTAGTTTGCAATCAGTACTTTATCAGCTACTCTCTATATGCCAGACTTTAGTTGTAAACCAGCACAGTAGCTGATCTGCAGGAGGATCAGTTCACTGATGGTTCACACTGATGTCACTCTGAGTCAACACTTCACTGGATATTAATAAAACCTGATCCAGGTTCGAGTCTGGTAGATTTCCAGCACATACAGCTCTGCATGTCTTACTTTATAATAATGATGTTTGCAGCTGCTGATGTTTCTCCTCACAGCTGATTCATCATCTGAGGCATGTATACAATCATCCCTGAGAATATCATATTACCAACGACAGAAACTCATAATGTCTTTCAGCTAAGCCGTACGTCAGACTTCACTCCAGTACGCCTCCTTCTGGTATCCATCAAGCCATGTTGGTCTGCAGCGTCTATGACTTCTACCCCAAATACATCAAAGTGAGCTGGCTGAGAGATGGACAGGAAGTCAGCGCTGATGTCACTTCCACTGAGGAGATGGCAGATGGTGATTGGTACTACCAGACCCACTCACACCTGGAGTACACACCCAGGTGAGCATCATAATCAGACTTTTAGTAAAAAGTCTGCACTAAAGTTTAAACATTTAAAGTCCAGATCTGAGAGTCATTGATGTTTGTGTTGAAGGTCTGGGGAGAAGATCTCCTGTAAGGTGGAGCACGCCAGCCTGGACAAACCTCTGATCACTGACTGGGGTAAATACCTGTCTGTATCTACACACCTGTACACACCTGTACATACCTACCTGTCTGACTCTCACCTGTGTGACTCAGATCCCTCCTCGTCCATGCCTGAGTCAGAGAGGAACAAGCTCGCCATCGGAGCCTCAGGACTGATCCTGGGTCTGATCTTATCTCTGGCTGGATTCATCTACTACAAGAGGAAGGCCCGAGGTCAGAGCAGGACTCTCACTCACAGACCAGTTCATACCTGAAACCAGTTCAGGCCAGAATGAAACCAGTTTAGACCAGTCTTAATCTCAAACCACATTACATGAGTCTAAAACTGGTTTGGATCTGGTTTACATCAGTGTTTTGTTTTATATATTGATGTTTTAAAATTCATATTCAGGCTGTTTTTAAACCAGTTTCACAAAGTTGTAGACCACTACAGTTTATTTTCAGAGTGGTGGTGACTGTGTCCTCGTCTCTTCTTCTTTCAGGTCGTATCCTGGTTCCCACTAACTGAGCCTGTTCCTGGTCCTGTTTCTGTCTGATGTTATAAAAGCTGCTGCTTCCTGTGTTCAGACTGATGATGATGATGATGATGATGATGATGATCTCTGTCTGGACTCTGATCCAGGACCATCTCAGTGTTGTTGGTGGTTGTGGTTTCACTGGGATGATCCTGGATCAGGTCTAATGTAGACTCTGCTGTTTGATGCTTTACCTCTGCTGTTTAATCCATGTGATGTAATCCCTGTAATCCATGTCTCTGAATGATTTGGGTGTTTCTGCTTATTTGATTACCATAGATCACACATTTTTACTGGAGGTCATTGTTCCAAAATAAATGACTCAAACTCTCAGCTGTTTACCTACATCCTGTTAATGTCAACCTGAGGATTTTATCGAGCTCCACTGTCCTGCAGGAAGGCTCAAGATCATATAGAGAGTTTTTGGAGGTGACTGATATGAAAGATATACAAGTTGTGACAGTATGTATGGAAATATCATAATAACTATAACTAATACAATTTCAATTTCCTGAGAAAATGGGGTGTGAATGCAAAAATCATCAGAACAATAAAGATTTAGCAGAAATATTGAAAAAGCTGAACAAGCTGAAGTTCCCTCAAAACTACTTGTTGTTGAACTGTGAAAAATGGGCAGAAACCTTAGAAAAGCAAGAAAGAAGAGCCAGCAGGTACACAAAATCAGGTGAAAATGACATGACTAACAATGTTACAAATATGGACACACACACATATTTAAATTAATAACACTTGTGTCGATGTTCTAGAAGGAGTCGTCTGAGCGCGCTCATTAAATCACGTGATGAGAGCGTGACAGAAGCTGTTAGTGTGCACACGCGAGTCTGCATGTGAGACAATCAGGAGCTTCCACCATTGTTCACCATCGCACAGAGGGACTGGCAGCTCACAGTACTGACATCCAGAGCCACCATGAACTGTGTCCAGCAGCTGTTTGTGCCCAATGGAGACACATCTGTCCTACACAAACATGGCAAAGTGACATTGAAGTACTTCCACAATGTAACTGATGGTGAGTTTGTGGCTTTAAAAGTTGACGCTCGGGTGACTGATTTCAGTCGTTAACAGACCTCCAGATCATTCGTGAAAAACCTGGTACGCCTGTCAGACTCTTTAGAGGTCATGGACTGTCACCACGTCATAGTGTCACTGTGACTTTAATGAGAATGTTTTATCCAGGTGTTACGACCTGTCTAGGGGCCAGGTTATATCATGATTAAGCATTCACCAAGACATAATGTGTATGTCTGTGTCCTGTTGACCTGCTGAAACCACATGATCACCATAGTTTTTCTTTTTTTTTCTTTTTTTTTTTCTCATGACATCAGAAACAGCAGTATGCGACATCACGTGATGGCGGAGCTTCAATTCATCCTTTGTCATTTTTTCCCCCCTTTTTTTAAAAATAGGACAGGGGGAATGAATGA